TAATGATGTTAATGAAACGATAAAACATCCGGAAGAGAATAATGATGTTAATGAAACGATAAAACATCTGGAAGAAAATAATGATGTTAATGAAACGATAAAACATCTGGAAGAGAATAATGATGTTAATGAAACGATAAAACATCCGGAAGAGAATAAGGAAGAGAATAATGATGTTAAACAAAACCTAAGTTATATAGAATATAAATATGATTGGGTAACTTTTTTTGGAAATAAAGATAATAGGCGGATGTGCAAAGTAAGAATTTTTGGAAATAAGGATGAAAGAAGACGTTTTAAAAAAGATTTTAAAATTAGAGACGTGTGGGACTTGACGAAGAATATGGCAGAAGATTTAAAAATACGACTATTTAAAAAACAAGATTCGGACAAATTTAAAGTATGTAGCTACATAATTGTGGCTATTATTTTTATTGGGGTATCTTTGATTTCTATTTTCGGTATAATTTCAATGATTTTCATTTATGCAATCAGCAAATATTGTTTTCATAATGAAAAGGCTGATAAATCTCTTCCTAATGAAAAAGATGATAAAAACACTAAAATTTCTAGTTATAGGTGCAAAATATTAAAAGAATCTAAAGGATCTTCACACGAAGAGAATATAGGAATAACATTTAAAACCTCCACCCCGGTTTTTATTAGGGATTGGAACCGCCTAAAATTTTTCTTAATCATTTAATCGTTTAACCGTTTAACCGTTTAATTTGGCCGGCATTAAAATAATTCCAGCTCACGACCAACATAATTCTGCCCGAAACTATGGTGTAATTTTTAAACGGTTAAACGGTTCCAATCCTTAGTTTTTATTAAAAAATATATTATCTATATAGCTACAATAGGTTTTAGGATGAAAACTAAATATAAATACAAAATTGAATCTATAGAAATAACTGAAGAGCAAAAAGATGAGCTTAAGCGTCTGTTATGTTGAATAGCTACTGTAAAATCAACCGGGGTAAATCCGCCACCTAAAGAAGATTCAAATAAAATTTCGTTCTTTTAGGTTAGGGTATGATTTTACTATTAGATCAATGTCTAAGAACACTCCTTATAACAAAATTTTACAAGGAAAACTTTTAATTAATGCGCAGAAGGCAGTTTCATAGACTAAATTTTGGGTTATAAGCGATTTTTGACAAAATGAACGTTTGTTTTGAATTTTCTTGATCGTGTTACGTTACATCTTGAGACATTGGGGTGCGCGATATACTATGTAAATCAAAACTATATGTGGTATTATATAAAAACTTAATATCTAAAATTTTATATAGCATATAATTTTACTTATAATTTTTCGCGAAATTTAAATAGATGC